CAATTGTGTATCAAAGGTTTTTGTTGTGGCTTGGTTCAAATTAGCTGTTGTCGTAAATGAAAAAAAAAATAATAGTGCTGCACTCTATTGGTAAACCCTATAAATCCTTAATGCTGTTGAATATCATAGAACCAGCTTGTGTAATTGAAACAGCAGGTAAAATTCTTTAATTTATTTTGAAATATAAATACTGATAAGGTTAACATGGGAATTCCCAGGGCCACTAGGGTGGAGCCCGAAAGGATCTGAGCCCGAAAGGATCTTTGAGATAAGAGTATGTCTATATGTTAATCTGGAATGTGAGCTATCTTCATATCGAATTCCAGCTCAATCTGACCAGTAATTAATGCGTAATTGAACTTCAAACAAACAAACAAACACACAAACTTTCACATTTACAATATTAGTAAGATAAGATGTATTACTTAAATATTGATTACTAGCTGTGTGCCCGTTCTACGCACGGGGATCTTATAGTGGTCAGTTGAAACCTTCCTATATAAAGAACAGCAGATGGTTTGCATATTTTCAGATATACTGGCCAAACTATTATATAGAAACAAATACAGTATCTGACAGTTTCAAGTAAAAAAAAATGCGTAATAGATCTATGTGGGGTACACTTTTATATCTGATGGCACAAACAACTAAATGATTATTCGATTGTTTAATTCGATATATCGTTTGGTTAGTTAGGTTAGGTTAACCTTACCTAACTAACCAAACGACATAAAGTTAAAATACTATACCTCAACCTCGCCATTAAACATTCAGGTTGGAAATTTCACTATCAAAGGTGCTCTTTTCCTGTCTGTACGGAACACTGAGTAATATGCGCTACCAACTTATAAATAATTGTTTAGGCCTACGAACCCAAGAGATGGGCAATTGGTCTATTGGCTGTATGGTACAGCGAGCAGCACATAGCGTTGAGAAGACACATTGGAAAAGCGATTTGAGCATAATCCGTAAACCTCTGTTACAATCACCTACTGCAGTTGTCACTGTACACTTTACACAACCACCATTCAAGTGCCGTCAATGAGTTGAAACCTTTTGTGTAAGCTATTGGTAACGCTTATGTAAAAAATATAAGTTTCCCAGCCATATAGAACACTGATTCAAGGTCTTTTCCTCGGTTATCAAAACTCAAAAAAAAATGTTATACACAAAGAAGCTCTTTTTTCATTTACGCTTACCCTACACATTATTGCACTTGCGATTAATTAAATCCGTTATGTACGGAAACACAGTTTTAATCCAACTTGGTTTGGATTTGCTTTTGAAACGTGATCGGAAATGATTGCGGTATTTGTAAACAACATCAATGTAAACATATCAGTGACAGCTATAGAAAAATAATCTTGATCCGAACAGCTGTTCGCTATTTCATAGATGATTATGTGATAAACATTGTGAGAAAACTTGACAAAAATCACACAAAATCGGGTTTTTAAACGTCCGTAAGTTTTTTACAAATTCGTGAGGCCATATTTTAATAGCTAAAGACACTTTTGCCCATCCAGTGAACACATTAAAATGATTTGGATTTTTATAGGTACTCTTGTTTTTCAGGAGAAGGCCGTGTAAAATGGCTTTTGGTCCTTGACAGACGGAAGACAGACAGACAGAAATTTAGATGAGACTTGTTTCGGATTCTTGAATGTATAAAACGTAAAAATAACCTAAAAGTACAGACAAAACTCTAATTTTATTTATATAGATTTGTACCTCTGGTGATTTTTATTAGAAGTTTATTGAAGTAAATAAATAACAATTTACAAACCATCCGACCAGTGTTTTTATTTAAAAAGTACGAAGGCCTATTTGATTGGCTTTGTTTTCTGAACTAAAATATATATTTTCTGATCTATTTTGAGTTCCTGGTTTCGAAACATAATTTGGCAAAACAATTATTTATTCATTAAACAAATTGATCGGAAAATAATTTCTTAACATTGGAGGACAATTTTAATCATAAATACCCCCGCCGCAGCAAACCTGCAGACTAAGCGAATTTCCATTGACCTGATTGGATTTACACTAAAATGCCTCCATAAAAATAGCACATTTATTTCCTATTTAAATAGAATTAGTTTAACAAGTACCTTAGGTTTGCTGCAACAGGGAGGGTAAAAAAGATTTTTTTATAAAATGATAATAGTTTAGTAAGAAATAAAAGTATTTTCCAAAATCGATCAAAATATGTTCATAAACAAGCAAACTGCAACAGTCGACTTATTCTCCATAAGAATAACATGGGAATTTTAAAATTACAATTTTTTTGAATTTTCTCCGTAACAATTAGGCGCATAATAACGCTTCAATATACTAAATTATTTGTTTTTTTAAGCTCTACAAAATGGTTTAAAAAGAAATTGTGAAATTTTGTGTTTTTAGGGGCAAAAATGGGAAAAACCTATTTTTACCCCATAAAACCCCCCATAAACCCCCGTTCCCATAGTCCGATCATGCTGGTTCGCGAACTCATTCAAGTTTATCCCGCCTTACACCTTCAAACCAAATTTTATCAAAATCGGACAAAAATTACTCAAGTTATCGTGCGGATGGACACATATATATAGTTATATAAAAATTTGAACGAATGGTGTTTTTGGCCTCTGGGGACATCAAAATGAAAAAGTAAATCGGTCCCGGGCTTAGGTCGTACCATGAGACCTACGGTAATAGCTACTTCCCTATAGGGAAATTCGCTAAAAACTTTTGAATTCTAATAAACCTAGCTGCTGTACCCGTGTTTTGCATCAGAGAGGGTTTTGAAGAGAAAAAGTTTGATACACGTCACATTTATCAAATCCCACTCCAAACACGTCATGTTAATACGTTTACTTGCTTGAATTAAGAAAGTCAAAATCTCCAATTAACAAGCTCGTAGCAAAAATTAAAAGTTTCACAATTCGAATAGTTTCTACCTTTTGGACCGTAAATTCAAAGCACTGCATTTACAGGTGACTTCGTTTAACATTCTGTTATCTACATTCTTCAAAAATGTAAACATTGTGAAACTTTGAAATCCCATGGGGCGTAACTCAAAGAAAACACCTTAAAAGTAATCGGTATATGTGTTAACCAGGTACAGGGCTACCTCTTGAATTTATATAGATAATAAATCGAAAAATAAAGAAAATATAAGTTCATTGATTATTGGCCGTTATAAGATAAACAAGCACGAAACATGATTTGATTAAGTAACCACACATCACTGAGTCTATATCTTCATTCTCATGTAAAAATCGCTTCGATTGTGGCTGTATATAATAGGGAAGTAAGATTTCACTGTACAACGAGCTCAGTAAGCTCGAGAACCAGCAATAAGTTGGAAATAACCGGCCGAACCTTAACCATCCAGTGGCTCGCTAGTCGCTACCCCAGGTCGGTCGGTAGCCCATCAATGGAACCCGTTAGGTTCGCCCCTGCCTCTCGCCGCAAGAGAGACAAGAATTTTGGCTTGTTCCCCCCTCCTTCGATTGTTTGAGGCGGGAAAACTATCTATGTGCTACGGCCCGCGCAACACAGGATATTGTTTTCGTATTATAACTGTGAACGTTAGCTTTTATGCACTCCCTTGGAGAATAATTCAAAACTGCAAAGAATATTTCTAATCCCACAGTATACTAGATATTTAAACTATAAACACTTTGGTGTTTGAAAAAATATTTTTGGACGATAAATTTTGCAAATGTTTGAAATTATCCAAGATGGCCGCATTGCCTCCAAGGACTCAACAATAGGCCTACTTGTGCGACTATAAAGCAATAACTCTCCCCCCCCTTGCGCTTGCTATTTAGCTCGGTACATATTTGTATCTACAGTTGGCAGGACAATAGCCATTAAGATGACCTAAGATTACATTGGCATTTAGGTATTTAACCTGTAGAATAGTAATTTTTAAGTAATCTGGAAGACAACTAATTAAAATGAAGTGCGAAAGATTGGTTATGAGAGTGCTCAATGCTTGAAGCATTATCCGTTTGTTTGAGGTGCGGATTTTCAAGCTTGTAGAACAAATAAATATTATACAAAGTAGAAGGGCAGGAGTGAAATTGACTGAAGTGACGGGATACCCGGTGGATTTTCAGTGACTGGATTTCAGTGGTATGCGGTAAAATATATAGTGACTGGCTTAGCAGCACAAATTTTACGTGACTGGCTTTCCCGTGCAAATGCGGTGGTGACTGCATTAGCATAGCAGTTTTAACGTAATTATATTTTAGTATTTTTAAGAAAAAAAGAGATATATACATTCAGAAATGTCTAGGCTTAAGATATTTACCAATATATATTATATATATATCATAGTCTTGAAATATATAGGGGGGTGCAACTGACTGACTTCCAGTGTATATTTCATGTGACTGACTTCCCGGGCGCGGCCGTGTATATATATATATATATATATATATATTAATAATTGAAATAAATAATTAAACATTTAGTACCCTTTAAGTTAGGTATTAATTTATTTATATTTTTTATAAATATATATATATATATGAATTTGAACAGATGGTGTTTTTGGCCTCTGGGGACCTCAAAACAAAAAAGTAAATCGGTCCCGGGTCTAGGTCTTACCATAAGACCTACGGTAATAGCTTATTCCCTATATGGGAAATTCGCTAAAAATGTAAGGCCAGTTTGCAAATCTACACACCAAGGCGAACATTTTGGCATATAATATGTGAGACTTAATCTTAAAACTAAAAAGCCTTATTGTTCACAAAGTTTCATGTTGCGTATTAATAATAGAGATAATTTGACTTTAAACTATCATATATGCTGATAGATTAAAGAGGATCTATTGCAGTCATAAATTAATGTTGCTACAATTTGAAATCTTAGTACCACTTTCCGTTTTCTTAGATTATGTCTTTTCAGCTCTATCTAAAAAAGTACTTACCTTTTTAGAGTTAGGAGTGTAGTATCTGGAGTAAAATAAAGTTAAAATAGAGTAGGTACAGAACAGTAATCAGAATGCGTACCTTTCACTTGCAGTGTTGAATGTAACACTATTTTTTAGTTCTTTATTTTCACTTTGTATGGACCAAGATGTGGAGATACTAAATTCTTTGCAGATGGTGTTTTTTTCAGCCATTCTAGTAAAGCAAGAAATTAATTATTAGATGTCAAATCTTTTGGTTGAACAGAATATAAATTCATTTTAAAGAAGGCCAGTTAAAGAAGCAGATTATAATACATACTGTAAAAGAATAACTTCTTGGTTAGCATTGTACGTGTTATTAAATTACCTGAAAAATACAGAAATATATACGTCTAATAACACTTGCAATAATATATTTACACTTATACTGTTGACTTACAAGACGGTAAATACATGGAAAAGTTGGTAAGTGGTGATCGATTTTGATTGGACACTCCAATGGACACTCCTGAAAAATACAGAAATATATACGTCTAATAACTTGCAATAATATATTTACACTTATACTGTTGACTTACAAGACGGTAAATACATGTAAAAGTTGGTAAGTGGTGATCGATTTCGATTGGACACTCCAATCGAAATCGATCACCACTTACCAACTTTTACATGTATTTACCGTCTTGTAAGTCAACAGTATAAGTGTAAATATATTATTGCAAGTTATTAGACGTATATATTTCTGTATTTTTCAGATACTGTAAAAGAGAAAGCCTACCGTACCCAGTCACATATTTTATATAGGCCTAGTCTTAGGATACCCCATGCCTGCTCAGTGGAGCCAGGATACCAGCTTACTTGCTTAAAGCTAACTTTGATCATACACTACTGTAAAGTATTAAGTATTTTGAGTCAATTCGGCTATGTAACAATCCTCTCTTAGTTAATCCACACACAGTGGAGTTTGGCTGGTTATACTGGTGGTCTCAGTGAGCTAGTATGAATGTATTAATAATCACTACTATACTATTATTGTTCACATAGCTAAATGCAATTAAAGCAGCTTGTGCCTGCACAGTCTACAATCACCACTACACCTGCTCTATGCTTGAAATAAATGTAGGCTACTACTACTAAACAATGCTCCTGCCCAATGCGGAAGGAGGTACACCAATGCGGCTTGCTCATGTGCAGCAATCAGAGTAGCAAGCGCCAATTAAACCGGTATAATCTATTGATGAGTATCTAAACCCTGGGCTTGGATAGGCCTATTCATCGTGCAGAAGACCACGGTGCAGAAGCGTTTCTAGTGTTTAACCTAATCTAACTAACCAAACTATCGAATGAGTACTTTTTATTGATATATCGATTGTTCGATATATCGATAAAAAGTACTCATTCGATATTAGTGCCAACAGATATGGAAGTGTACCCGTAGGTCGATTATTGATTATTGATTATTGTCGATATTGATGTAAATTATCAGCCAGATTCCTAGCTATGGTTAGGCTATGCATTCTTAGCTAAACGCTATGTACTGAAATCCGTTTTTCACTCATAACTTATTTATTTGATAACTTACCTCACTATATGATTATATATTTGTAATCCTCATTAAATTTAGAACAAAGTGGCTATATTTTCAAATATTTATAGGCCTATAATTTATACAATTTCATTGAGCGCGAACTTATTATTTTTTTTCAATTTTTCAAAAATATTTTTTTTTATTGGTGTGAACCTGGCAATAACTCCAGCCATAAGTAGTGCGCGCGCCCGAAAAAATCTATTGCTGGCCGATTTGCGGCAAAATACAACCGCGTAACATGAAACCGATAGTGTCACCAGATAGAGGACACTTTAACGGAAACGACCGTATCAATATCATGTACCTGGGGGATAAGAAAGGGGGGGTAAAGTCAGCCAAAAGTAGTGTGCGCGCCCGAAAAAATCTATTGATGGCCGATTTGTGGCAAAATACGGCCGCGTAACATATTACCGATGATGTCACCTAATAGAGGAGACTTTAAAGGACACGACAGTATCAATATCATGTACCTGGGGGATAAGAAAGGGGGGGTAAATTCAGCCATAAGTAGTGCGCGCGCCCGAAAAAATCTATTGCTGGCCGATTTGCAGCAAAATACGGCCGCGTATCATAATACCGATTATGTCACCAGATAGAGGATTCAAAGCCGTGACAACTGACAACTTACGACTAGACTGGTTGACGATCCTTTTGTATCACCAACTTTTAGCATAAAGTATTAGGCCTATAATCCTATTATGCGCAGCCACTCAAGTCGCGCAGATTTTTTCTGGCGCGCGCACTACTTATTGCTGACTTTACCCCCCCTTTCTTATCCGCCAGGTACATGATATTGATACTGTCGTGTCCGTTAAAGTGTCCTCTATCTGGTGACATTATCGATTTCATGTTACGCGGTCGTATTTTGCCGCAAAACGGCCGGCAATAGGTTTTTTCGGGCAAGCCCACTACTTATTGCTGACTTTACTCCCCCTTTCTTATCCCCCAGGTACATGATATTGATACTGTCGTGTCCGTTAAAGTGTCCTCTATCTGGTGACATTATCGGTTTCATGTTACGCGGCCGTATTTTGCTGCAATTCAGCCAGCAATAGATTTTTTAGGGCGTGCGCACTACTTATTGCTGATTTTACCCCCTCTTTCTTATCCGTTAGGTACATGATATTGATACTGTCGTGTCTGTTAAAGTGTCCTTTATCTGGTGACATCATCGGTATTATGTTACGCGGCCGTATTTTGCCGCAATTCGGCCAGCAATAGATTTTTTAGGGCGCGCGCACTACTTATTGCTGATTTTACCCCCTCTTTCTTATCCGCCAGGTACATGATATTGATACTATCGTGTCCGTTAAAGTGTCCTCTATCTGGTGATATCATCGGTATTATGATACGCGGCCGTATTTCGCTGCAAATCGGTCATTAATAGATTTTTGAGGGCGCGCGCACTACTTATTGCTGATTTTACCCCCTCTTTCTTATCCGCCAGGTACATGATATTGATACTATCGTGTCCGTTAAAGTGTCCTCTATCTGGTGACATTATCGGTTTCATGTTACGCGGTCGTATTTTGCCGCAAAACGGCCGGCAATAGATTTTTTCGGGCAAGCCCACTACTTATTGCTGACTTTACCCCCTCTTTCTTATCCGCCAGGTACATGATATTGATACTGTCGTGTCCGTTAAAGGGTCCTCTATCTGGTGACATTATCGGTTTCATGTTACGCGGTCATATTTTGCCGCAAAACGGCCGGCAATAGATTTTTCGGGCGCGCCCTTTACTTATTGCTGACTTTACCCCCCCTTCCTTATTCCCCAGGTACATGATACTGATACTGTCGTGTCCGTTAAAGTTTCCTCTATCTGGTGACATCATCGGTATTATGTTACGCGGCCGTATTTTGCCACAATTCAGCCAGCAATAGATTTTTTAGGGCGCGCGCACTACTTATTGCTGATTTTACCCCCTCTTTCTTATCCGTTAGGTACATGATATTGATACTGTCGTGTCCGTTAAAGTGTCCTCTATCTGGTGACATCATCGGTATTATGTTACGCGGCCGTATTTTGCCGCAATTCGGCCAGCAATAGATTTTTTAGGGCGCGCGCACTACTTATTGCTGATTTTACCCCCTCTTTCTTATCCGCCAGGTACATGATACTGATACTGTCGTGTCCGTTAAAGTGTCCTCTATCTGGTGATATCATCGGTATTATGATACGCGGTCGTATTTCGCCGCAAAACGGCCGGCAATAGATTTTTTAGGGCAAGCCCACTACTTATTGCTGATTTTACCCCCTCTTTCTTATCCGACAGGTACATGATATTGATACTGTCGTGTCCGTTAAAGTGTCCTCTATCTGGTGACATCATCGGTATTATGTTACGCGGCCGTATTTTGCCGCAAATCGGCCAGCAATAGATTTTTCGGGCGCGCGCACTACTTATGGCTGGAGTTATTGCCAGGTTCACACAAGTTTTTTTTTTTGCCTAAAAAATTTTTTTGAAACAAATATTCCTTATGTTTTATGTTGTATTGAAGCCCGTGATTTTCCAAACAAAATGGTAGGCCTATATAGAACATAAGAATTAACATTGTTTTAAGCTTCTCAGATCCGTTTCAATAAAACCTTGCAAATGCGCCAAAAATAGGTGGACATTAAGGCCTAAACTATGGACACTTGGAGGGTTAATAAAGGTCTTTAAAATGAGGTGTCACTCGATGGGGCTTTACATTTAAAATTTTGGAGCTACCCCCAAAATATCCCATTTCGGGTTCCCGGGAAAAATTGGGATACCATCCAAAAAGTGGAGTTTTATTTTTTATGAAGGTATGTGGAGTTTAGTTGTCCTGGTGTCACCCATTAAAAAGTTAACCAGGGGTATCCACACATTTGCCCAACCCTGTACAATGAATTATAGGATAGGTAACTTAGGTAGCTAATACAACACTAACCTGTAGTCCTACTGTAGCCTGAGCTGAAACAAAGATTTGAAAAAAATACTGCTAAGTCAGTGCAAGTTATTCATTTTGTTTAGGCTAGGCCTAGCTAGGCCCTATGTTATGTCTCATGTCTTTGATGAAACAACCAAAACACACACACACAGACACACAGCATGGATGTACTGTATATAAGTCATAACCTCAATAAATATGAAAAATTAACTTATTTCAATCTAATAATTTGAAGTAAAAGTTTGATTTGAACTTAAACACTACATTTTTGATCTGACGGTGGCATGAAAGTGTTCCATGAAGTTACAAACATATTATTCTATTTATTTCAATTACTTAGCCAGTCATCAAATGATATTCCTCTTATTAAGATAATCCGATCTCCGATCTAGACTAGATACCGTCGTGATTCGTGAAGTTTTAGCCTTTTCCTTTTAGCGGCTCTTTTCCACTTTTCACGGCGCTTTTTCGAATTGTAATGTAATATATGGGCGGCAGAGACCTTGCCGTCAGACCGTGACCGTCACCGCCCTTTTTTCGTCTGTCTAGAAACGGGACAGCGGAATTTGAAATCGGAACGACGCTTCACCCACGCACAGTTTGTTTTTCAGGATTAATTTTGCCAACAGTGTCATTTAGAGGCTTCTGATTGACTATAATGTTTACTAATTGAAAAATTAGTTTTCCTACAGTCACCCGACAAAGTTGGTTTTTTTGTACTGTTTATAGTACAGAAAGCTGCTAATTGCTGCATATTTATACTTTGCCGTACGGTTTATACTTTGTCGCACGGTTTATACTTTGCCGCACATCAGGATTCCAACGAAACAACACAAAACAGCGTGGTTCTATTATGCACGTAATCCGTGTACGCTTGGAAATAGGTTGGCAACACTTAAAGATAATAATACTATGAGCAGCTGATTGACTATTATAACTACGATTTAACCTGTCATTTCGTGTTTATAGTTTCGGTATTTCTGAACTTTCTGGACTTTTCTTTTAAACGTTTTTAAAACATTCCTACGATCTTAATAAACAAGAAAATACCTTTAAAGCATTTTTTTTAGGTGCGGAAACCACTTAAAATTACAAAAACATACGGAACTATGTTCTCAAAACGCGGAGCACATTTCTTGCAGAGGAAAAATAGCGGAGTGATACGGACCGCGGGTATATCTTTCTCTAGGACACCATTTGTGTTGCCAGATGAACCTAAAAACGTGTTGTATAGTGTTTGAGACTATTTATATGCTTTATAGTGACTGTAGGAAAAATATAATGTGTAACACGAGTGAAAAAGACCTTTGCTGCACTCGAGATCATTCCGCACTCCCCTGCGGCTCGTGCGTAAACATTGCTCTCGTGTGCAACAAAGTGCCACTTTCACCACTAGTTACACAAATAACTATTTTCCTACAGTCACCCGACAAAGTTGGCTTCCTTGTACTGTTTATAGTACAGAAAGCTGCTAATTGCTGCATATTTATACTTTGCCGTACGGTTTATACTTTGTCGTACGGTTTATACTTTGCCGCACATCAGGATTCCAACGAAACAACACAAAACAGCGTGGTTCTATTATGCACGTAATCCGTGTAAGCTTGGAAATAGGTTGGCAACACTTAAAGATAATAATACTGTGAGCAGCTGATTGACTATTATAACTACGATTTAACCTGTCATTTCGTGTTTATAGTTTCGGAATTTCTGAACTTTCTGGACTTTTCTTTTAAACGTTTTTAAAACATTCCTACGGTCTTAATAAACAAGAAAATAACTTTAAAGCATTTTCTTTAGGCGCGGAAACCACTTCAAATTACAAAAACATACGGAACTATATTCTCAAAATAAGAGCACATTTCTTGCCGAGGAAAAATAGCGGAGGGATACGGACCGCGGGTACTACTTTCTCTAGGGCACCATTTGTGGATTTGTGTTGCCAGCTGAACCTAAAAACGTGTTGTATAGTGTTTGAAAGACTAATTATTTATATGCTTTATAGTGACTGTAGGAAAAATATAATGTGTAACACGAGTGAAAAAGGCCTTTGCTGCACACGAGAGCAATGTTTACGCACGAGCCGCAGGCGAGTATTCAGGCGAGTATATACGGTGCCACTTTCACCACTAGTTACACAAATAACTATTGTTCATAGAATAAAATTATAAATGCCTCAAATTCAATTTTATATTTTTTATTGTGAAATTAAATCGTCATAACCTAACCAAACCAACCAAACGTGCTGACAATGAAAAAATCTAATGAAGGTTTATTAATCGAAAAAATAGTTGTGTTCATAAAATAAAATTATAAATGCCTCAAATCCTATTTTATAATTTTTTAATTATAAAATTAAACTATCATAACCTAACCAAACTAACCAGACTGGCTGGTAATGAAAAATCGAATGAAGTGAAGGTTTTATTCGAAAATATGTTTCTGTTTATAAAATAAAACTATAAATGGGTCAAATTCAATTTTATAATGTTTTAATTATAAAAATTAAACCATCATAACCTAACCAAACCAACCAAACGTGTTGATAATGAAAAAGTCCAATACAAAAATTAGTGCTACGGGTGGGATTCGAACCCAGGTACTTCGGATTATCAGCCCAGCACTCTATCCACTGGGATCCGTTGGGATCGATCCGTATCGTTGCGGTAATGATGTTCCCTCAGCCAATCAGAAGCCTCAAAGTAGGGTCGCCGGAATTTTATCCCCCTGGAATTTTACCCCCTGGGCAAAGCTGACGTCACTATGACCACAGAAAACGTACTACTATACTTACTACTATATAGGTTATAGTAGTACGTTTTCTGTGCTATGACGTAGTAACCTGAGTGGCCAAAGGTTTGTTCGCGGCCGGAATTTTACCCCCGCGGATTTGGAAGTCTAATGAAAATAATCAGAGCGTGATTAATTAGATTAGCGATAAAACCCGGAATTTTACCCCCTGTCCATATAACTAGCGTTTAGGCAACTGAAGATGTACGGGCCGGATTTTTACCGCCGGAATTTACCCCCCGGAATTTTACCCCCCGGAATTTTACCCTCCGGAATTTTACCCCCTGGCTGATTTTAGAAATTGAATGATTGATTTTCTTATTTCTGTTTTTAATTAATTGTAAACATTTCATTATTTAGTAGCCTATCTTTATTTATTAATTTTGTAATCTCAACTAAGTAAACAGAATTCGCTGTTTTATTTTGATCATATTAACCAACAGCTTCAAAGATCGAATCCTGACACTCGGATCACAAAATTAATATTAAAACCCTGTTCGATTAGTTAATGTTACATATAAATTAAGATAGGCTACTTAATAATAAAATGTTTACCATTAAATTAAAACTGAATGACGATAATTAATCATTCTCACTAATTTATATATCTGGCCAGGGGGTGAAAATCCGGGGGTAAAAATCCGGGGGGTAAAATTCCGGGGGTAAAAATCCGGGCCGTACATTCTAGGTTTTTATAATTTGATGTGTTCTGATTAAACTCACAACCGTGAAAATATATGATTAATTCCGCGTTTAATCCATCAAGCTGATGTCGCGAAACTCAAAAGTTCGCGGCCGGAATTTTACCCCCTGGTTTGTGACGTCACGTTTGCCCAGGGGGTAAAAATCAGGCTCCGTGTTTAGCCCGGACGTGTTTGACGCGGACACCCTCAAAATGGTGGTGCGCGCGGACGGACGCTTTAGAAATCCCCGCGCCAAGCCGGTTGGGTAATTCGGCACCTTTCGCCCCCATTATCGAGTAAGGACGCTCGGTGGCGTTTCCCTCACAACACAGGGATTTATAATTATCGTAACCGGAACTGGCCCGTAGCTACCAGTGGGAGAAAAAACTTTTATTTATTATTAATTCCATTCGGATTTCAAAAATGAAACATTATTATTATAAGACCTGTATAATTGCAGGCACGTTGCAATGTGCAACGGAATCTATACTATTATAAATAATTTATTATTAATAAATTAATTTATTATTAATATTGGTTCTAGTAATCATTTTTAAATTTAACAATAAAATTTAAAAAATTGAAAGTAAAGCCTTTAAATTTTAGTATTACATCAAATATTGCACATGCTTATGAACAATGAACCTGAGCATGTTCCATAACAATTTACTTGATAATGATTACTTAGGTGTCTATTTTACAATCAAAATTCAAACTTCACTACTAATAATTGTTGCGGCACGTGATGCGCCAATGTTTTGGTAATAATACAAACTAACACTTTCAACTAAACTATGATTTTATTGATGTAGATATGATATAAGCAAATTATATCAGTGGACTGTATAGTGAAACTGTAATAAATTAATTTCTATAACGAAACTACTAAATGTGGATTAAGAGTCATAATTTAAGAGTAATGAAATACGTGAGATGCTGAAAGAAAACAATGTTACTCGGCTGACACGACAATCAGTAGGCTACTGATCACATAGATCACAGACCACATAGGACTACCACCCCACGGTCCTAGATAGAAAAGGAGTTTTTGTGACCGTATTTGTTCTTTACGAAGAAGGACGGTCTCAACTGCTTTGTTAAGAAGCCGACTAATTGCTCTAGCAGAACGAATGAGTGGTTTATGTGATCGTAAACAACTCTAGATGTTTGACAATATTTGAAATTTAGAAACGTAACTATCTCCTAACAGCATAAATATACCCAACAGATTAATTAAATACACTCTCCCCAACAATGATTGTTTCAAGCAAAAAATACTCATAAATAAAAAATGTTTGAAAAAACAGTATACAAGTATTTGACAAAAATCTTTTACGCCATCTTTAATTTTGGACTTCAGAGACTCCGATTTCTTTACACCGTTTCACTAGTAAATGCACACAATTCTTAGTCAAAATAACCAATCTTTAATTAAGCAATTTTCTTAGGGTTGTCTTACGGATTTACCCGACTATATTCAAATCTTTGAATTATGTTTCAATTGTTTACTTATTAGTTGAGTATATTTTGAATACACAGAAATTTATGTTGATGACTAATGCTGTGAATACAATTCAGTGACATAAGAACCAAAAATCTATGTAAATAATACCCCCACCGCAACAAACCTGCAGACTTTGCAGAATTTCCATTTACCGGGTTCGATTTTTACTAAAATATTCATAAAAAATTGTAACCTCTACAAAATGGCTTGGAGGGAAATTATAAAACTTTGTGTTTTTAGGGTCAAACATAGGAAAAATCAATTTTCACCCCGTAAAACACCCTATCAAAACGAAAAAGTAAATCTGTCCTGGATCTAGTCTTACCATGAGACCTACTGTAATTGCTATATGGAATATATGGGAAATTCGCTAAAATTAGAGTTTTGTCTGTACATGGCTTAGAATGCTAAATGTTTCGGTT